TCAATAGTAAAGATCGGAACCCAGTGTGTGTTAACTAACTTCAATATTAAAGATCTGAACCCAATGTGTGTTAACTAACGTCAATAAGTTCAAGCCTCATTGATTGTTCCAGAATTAAGTGATAGTCCTCTTCTCACCCCCCCTCTTCTCTCTCCGCCTCTCCTCTCTCCCTCCCTCCTCTCTCTCCCCCTCCTCTCCTCTCTCCTTTCCCTCCCTCCTCTCCTCCCCCTTCCCTCCCTCCTCCCTCCTCCCCCACTCTCCCACTCCTCTCTCCCCAGTGAGTTTTGTGCGAGCGCTGTATGACTACGCGGGCCAGGCGGATGAGGAGCTGTCCTTCCCAGAGGGGGCTGTCATCCGTCTGCTCAACAGAGACACCCAAACGGACGATGGCTTCTGGGAGGGAGAGTTTAACGGACGGGTGGGAGTCTTTCCTTCTGTACTGGTGGAGGACCTGATGGAGAACGGAGCACACACTCTGGTAAACACACACACACACACACACTGGTACACACACACACACACACTGGTACACACACACACCACACACACTGGTAAACACACACACACACACTGGTAAACACACACACACACACACTGGTACACACACACACACACACACACACTGGTACACACACACACACACACTGGTACACACACACACACACACACTGGTACACACACACACACACACTGGTAAACACACACACACACACTGGTAAACACACACACACACACACTGGTAAACACACACGTACACACACTGGTAAACACACACACACACACACACTGGTAAACACACACGTACACACACACACACACACACTGGTACACACACACACACACACACCTGGTACACACACACACACACACACACTGTACACACACACACACACACACCACTGGTACACACACACACACACACTGGTAAAACACACACACCAACACTGTGTAACACACACACACACACTGGTAAACACACAGACACACACACACAATGGTAACACACACACCACACTGGTAAAACACCACACACACACACTGGTAAACACACACACACCACACTGGTAAACACACACCACACACACTGGTAAACACACACACACACACACACACTGGTAAACACACACACACACACACTGGGTAAACACACACACACACACACACTGGTAAACACAACACACACACACTGGTACACACACTGGTACACACACACACACACTGGTAAACACACACACACACACTGGTAAACACAACACACACACACACTGGTAAACACACACACACACACACTGGTAAACACACACACAACACAAAAACAAAACACAACACCACACACACACTGGTACACACACACAACAACACACACACCACACGACACCACAACCACACACTGGTAACACACACACACACACATGGTAACACACACACACACGCTGGTAAACACACACACACACACTGGTAACACACACACACACACGGTCAACACACACACACACACTGGTAAACACACACACACACACACACTGGTAAACACACACACACACACTGGTAAACACACAACACACACACTGGTAACACACACACCACACACTGGTAACACACACACACACACACTGGTAAACAACACCACACCACACTGGTAAACCACACACAACACACACACTGGTAAACACACACACACACCTGGTACACACACACACACACTGGTACACACACACACACACAAACACACACTGGTACACACACACACACACACTGGTAACACACAACACACACACACTGGTAAACACACACAACACAACACAACTGGTAACACACACACACCACACTGGTAAACACACACACACACACTGGTAAACACACACACACACACTGGACAACACACACACATGGTAAACACACACACACACACACTGGTAAACACACACAACACACCACACTGGTAACACCACACACACACACACTGGTAAACACACACACACACACACTGGTAAACACACACCACAACCACACACACTGGTACACACACACAACACACACACACACTGGTAAACACACACACACACCACTGGTAAACACACACACACACACTGGTAACACACCACACACACTGGTACCACACACAACCACTGGTACACACACACACACACACTGGTCAGACAACACACACACCACACTGGTACAACACACACACACACACACACTGGTAACACACACACACACACACTGGTAACACACACACACACTGGTAAACACACCACACACACACTGGTAAACACACCACACAACACTGGTAAACACACACACACACACACTTAACAACCACAACACACTTGGTAATAAACTCACACACACACACACACCACTTGAGACAGACTCACACACACACACACACACACTTAACACAACACACCACACACACACAACACACACACACACACACACCAACACACAACACACACACCACTGGTAAAACACACACACACACACTTGAGGACAGACACACACACACACACACTTGAGAGCAGGCACACACACACACACACACACACACACACACTGGTAAACACACACACACACACACACTTGAGGACAGACACACACACACACACACTTGAGAGCAGGCACACACACACACACACACACACACACAACACACTGGTAAACACACACACACACACACACTTGAGGACAGACACACACACACACACACTTGAGAGCAGAAACACACACACACACAAATGCATGCACGCATACACACAGCTATATACACTATATATACAAAAGTATGTGGACACCCCTTCAAATTAGTGGATTCGGCTATTTCAGACATCCATGCAATCTCCATAGACACACATTGGCAGTAGAATGGCCTTACTGAAGAGCTCAGTGACTTTCAATGTGGCACCGTCGTAAGATGCCACCTTTCCAACAAGTCAGTTCGTCAAATGTCTGCCCTGCTAGAGCTGCCCCTGTAAGTGCTGTTATTGTGAAGTGGAAACATCTAGGAGCAACAACGGTTCAGCCGCAAAGTGTTAGGCCACACAAGATCACAGAACGGGACCGCCGAATGCTGAAGCGCGTAAAAATCGTCTGTCCTCGGTTGCAACACTCACTAACGAGTTCCAAACTGCCTCTGGAAGCAACGTTAGCACAAGAACTGTTCGTCGGGAGCTTCATGAAATGGGTTTCCATGGCCGAGCAGCCGCACACAAGCCTAAGATCCCCATGCGCAATGACAAGCGTCAGCTGGAGTGGTGTAAAGCTCGCCGCAATTGGATACTGGAGCAGTGGAAACACGTTCTCTGGAGTGATGAATTACGCTTCACCATCTGGCAATCCGCCGGACGAATCTGGGTTTGGCGGATGCCAGGAGAACACTACCTGCCCCAATGCATAGTGCCAACTGTAAAGTCTGGTGGAGGAGGAATAATGGTCTGGGACTGTTTTTAATGGTTCGGGCTAGGCCCCTTAGTTCCAGTGAAGGGAACTCTTAACGCTACAGCATACAATGACATTCTAGATGATTCTGTGCTTCCAACTTTGTGGCAACAGTTTGGGGAAGGCCCTTTCCTGTTTCAGCATGACAATGCCCCCATGCACAAAGCGGGGTCCATAAGGAAATGATTTGTTGAGATCGGTGTGAATGAACTTACTGGCCTGCACAGAGCCCTGACCTCAACCCCATCGAACACCTTTGGGATTAATTGGAACGCCGACAGCAAGCCAGGCCTAATTGCCCAACATCAGTGCCCGACCTCACTAATGCTCGTGGCTGAATGGAAGCAAGTCCCTTCAGTAATGTTCCAACATCTAGTGGAAAGCCTTCCCAGAAGAGTAGAGGCTGTTTATAGTAGTAAAGTGGGGACCAACTACACATTAGTGTCCATGATTTTGGAATGAGATATTCAACGAGCAGGTGTTCACATACTTTTGGTCATGTAGTGTATTTGGGTCCATGATGAAACATGGCGTCCAGTAATGTGTCTGTTTGTCTGTTATGTCTAGTTTTGTGATTGGTTTGGGAGTAGTCGTATCCTTCCTGGAGTTGTTTATTGTAGATAACGGTGTGATTAGAACTACTCCTACTCTAGTCCTCTGAGAATACCAGCTCTGTTATCTTGGTTTGAGCTGAGTGCTGAAAGGTATGTCGCCTGGCTAACTCCCTGCCTGTCGGCCTGGAGAAAAGTGACATGGATATTGTGTTTTCAATGGTTATGAATAAGTCACGATATGCAGAATCTGTGAAAGATGGTTGTCCTCTAACCCCTAACTTTCCCTCTCTTTCTCTTTGTCTCCCTCCCTCTCTCTCTCTCTCTCTTTTTCTGTCTCCATCATTCTATCTTTCCTCCCCCTCCAGATCTCTCCATCTTCGAGGCTGCCCTCCTCCCTGCCACCCCTCCCTCTGTATGACCAGCCCCCCTGCAGCCCCTACGCCACCCCAGACACCCCCACCCCTCCGCCCCTCCCTCGATCACCCTCTGTCAACGGGGAACACAAGCCACCTCCCACAATGCACAAGGGACCCACTCACAGTAAGAAAGTGACCAATGCTGGGTTTTTTGTTTTTACACATGTAAGAAAGAGTAACATGACAATTACATACAGTAGGTAAGACTGTAAAAAGAGTACATCAGTGTAATTTCTCTCTCTCTCACTCAATAAAAAAAAAAAAATCAATTTAAGGGGCTTTATTGGCATGGGAAACATGTTTACATTGCCAAAGCAAGTGAAGTAAATGATAAGCAAAAGTTAATTAAACAATAAAAAAATGAACAGTAAACTCTCTCTCTTTCTGTCTGTCTCGGTCTGCCTGTCTCTCTTTCTTTCTCTCCGTCTCGTTCTCTCTATCTCTCTCTTTCTGTCTCTCTCTCTCTCTTTTTCTGTCTTTCTCTCTCTCTCTCTCTCTTTCTGTCTCTCTATCGCTTTCCATGTCCCTCTCTCTCTGTCTCTTGCTCTCTGTCTCTCTCATCAGATCATAGTTCAGCTCTGAGTCCAGTGTCTCCAGAGTTCCCCCAGCCCCCCCGGTTCACTCCCGATGGAGGCCCCAGCAAACTACGACCTGTAAGCCACCCCAAAACCTCAACCTTTCAACAACCTTAGATCAAGACCAGTATTGGGAGATGTAGTGTGGATCTAAATTAATTGAATGTAGATGAGATTTGTGTTTAATGCCCCGCCCTCTCTCCCGCCCCATAGGTCCGTGCAGCCCCCCCGCCCCCTAAGCAGAAACCTCGCAAAAAGGCAGAGAAGACTGAGGAGGTGGAGATCACACTGGTGTGACAGACAGAGGGACAGATGCAGACCTGGATGACTGACCTTTGAACTGGGCTTCACCTCTAACCTTTGAACCATAGAACTCCCCCCCTTCACTCCCCCCTACCTCCCTCCACTGGGAAGAACTCCCCCTTCACTCCCCCCTACCTCCCTCAACTGGAAAGAACTCCCCCCTTCTCGCCCCCCTATCTCCCTCCACTGGGAAGAACTCCCCCCTACCTCCCTCCACTGGGAAGAACTCCCCCCTTCTCTCCCCCCTACCTCCCTCCACTGGGAAGAACTCCCCCCTTCTCTCCCCCCTACCTCCCTCCACTGGGAAGAACTCCCCCTTACCTCCCTCCACTGGGAAGAAAGAAGGGAAGGAAGATGGTTCTGTCTCCTAGCAACAAGGAGTAGCAGCCCCTCCTCTCCCTCTCAGGGTCAGACTGTCTGTTGCCTGAACTTTGCTCTCATCTGGCAGCCATTTTGAATGAAAGGAATTCAGCGGGAGGAGGAGGAAGAGGAGGAGGAAGAGGAGGAGAAAAAGGAGAGGGGGAGAGTTGCGATGAAAGGGAGTTTTATCTATGTGAGCTGGGTTTCCCCTGTTCTTGCCATATATAGTCATATCATACGTGTTTAATGTGTATTAGTACAGTATATTACTGTTGTCATAGGAATGTTCCGAATTATGCGCAACGTTTCATATTAGCCTATCCCGCTGAATGGAGTATCTATTTGATATGTAGTAGAAGTTGATCCATATTGCAACCTAAAATAGCATTGTACATACAGTTAAAGGGTATGGTGAGATGGAGGGAGAGAGGGAGAGGGGGAGAGAGAGAAAGGTGGGGCTGGATCCTCCCTGAACGTCCTCCCGCCATCTCTCGCTCCTTCTCAGACAGACTGTTCTGTCTATTTGCAGTTTGTATGGATCAGTGGTAACCATTCACACACACACACACACACAGATACACACACACACACACACAGATAAGTCTTCTCAGCTTCAACCTCTGATGAACAGCTTGTGTTTTGTATCACTAATATTTAGTCCTCAATAGGAACCGCAGTGGAGACAGTTGAACTGGTCTAAGAAATGGGGTCAGACCTTTGGTGTTTTTCACCTCTGGTTGTATCCCCTGTCAGGCTTCTGTTTATCCTTCATAGAGACAGATACCTGCATTTAGTGCTTTACGGTTGCTGTTTTCTCTGATGGCCTGTCAGAATCAACCCCTGTCCTGGTTCTGGGTTGGACCGGGCAGCTCTCTCTCTCTCTCTGGTGTATCACTGCTGGGGTCTGAGTGAGTGGGTTGTTTTAGGTTGAGTGGGATGTTGAGTGGAGAGAGACTGTATTTATACGACTGAATGAACGAACCCAGAGGTCCACCCGAAAAGAAGGGAGTAGAAAACAACATCACCACAGAGGACAACATGACCAGAGGAGCTGCACCACAGAGGACAACATGACCAGAGGAGCTGCACCACAGAGGACAACATGACCAGAGGAGCTGCACCACAGAGGACAACATGACCAGAGGAGCTGCACCACAGAGGACAACATAACCAGAGGAGCTGCACCACAGAGGACAACATGACCAGAGGAGCTGCACCACAGAGGACAACATGACCAGAGGAGCTGCACCACAGAGGACAACATAACCAGAGGAGCTGCACCACAGAGGACAACATGACCAGAGGAGCTGCACCACAGAGGACAACATAACCAGAGGAGCTGCACCACAGAGGACAACATGACCAGAGGAGCTGCACCACAGAGGACAACATGACCAGAGGAGCTGCACCACAGAGGACAACATAACCAGAGGAGCTGCACCACAGAGGACAACATGACCAGAGGAGCTGCACCACAGAGGACAACATAACCAGAGGAGCTGCACCACAGAGGACAACATAACCAGAGGAGCTGCACCACAGAGGACAACATGACCAGAGGAGCTGCACCACAGAGGACAACATAACCAGAGGAGCTGCACCACAGAGGACAACATGACCAGAGGAGCTGCACCACAGAGGACAACATAACCAGAGGAGCTGCACCACAGAGGACAACATGACCAGAGGAGCTGCACCACAGAGGACAACATGACCAGAGGAGCTGCACCACAGAGGACAACATAACCAGAGGAGCTGCACCACAGAGGACAACATAACCAGAGGAGCTGCACCACAGAGGACAACATGACCAGAGGAGCTGCACCACAGAGGACAACATAACCAGAGGAGCTGCACCACAGAGGACAACATAACCAGAGGAGCTGCACCACAGAGGACAACATAACCAGAGGAGCTGTACCACAGAGGACAACATAACCAGAGGAGCTGCACCACAGAGGACAACATGACCAGAGGAGCTGCACCACAGAGGACAACATGACCAGAGGAGCTGCACCACAGAGGACAACATGACCAGAGGAGCTGCACCACAGAGGACAACATGACCAGAGGAGCTGCACCACAGAGGACAACATGACCAGAGGAGCTGCACCACAGAGGACAACATAACCAGAGGAGCTGCACCACAGAGGACAACATGACCAGAGGAGCTGCACCACAGAGGACAACATGACCAGAGGAGCTGCACCACAGAGGACAACATGACCAGAGGAGCTGCACCACAGAGGACAACATGACCAGAGGAGCTGCACCACAGAGGACAACATGACCAGAGGAGCTGCACCACAGAGGACAACATGACCAGAGGAGCTGCACCACAGAGGACAACATAACCAGAGGAGCTGCACCACAGAGGACAACATGACCAGAGGAGCTGCACCACAGAGGACAACATGACCAGAGGAGCTGCACCACAGAGGACAACATAACCAGAGGAGCTGCACCACAGAGGACAACATGACCAGAGGAGCTGCTTTGTGTCACCTTTTTGTTCATTCCTATTTTAAGACTGTAGCCATGCTTTTATTATTTAAACCAGGACATTTACTTTGTTTCAATCACCTTTTTTGTTGTTGTGATTTTGCTTCCGCGTCCTACCCACTGACCTCCTCAAACTAACAATCAATTAAACAATCAGATCAGTTTGACTGATATATTGACCACCTCTCTACTGAGCCCCTAAAGTTACTGAGGAGGAAAGGGTCTGGTCTTACTTGTAACCTTTCAGTTTGACCCTTGAACTTTGACATATGATTTTGAAAGCAATTCAGACTGATTAATCAGGTCCTAACATCTCACACAGCGATTGGCTTGCACATTTCCAACCTGCCACACTGATAGGGCGTACTACCGTAAAATAAACTATTGTATAGAAGATACAACTATACACCCTGTGAGGATGTACCTTACCGTAGGTCAATATCCATTACCAGCCCCTTCAAGCAAGCCTTCCTAAACCCAACCTAGGGAGACATCATAGCACTTTATTCCCTTTGATTGGGTTTATTCTCTTGTTTGATTTTCTGATGTTTTTCAGTGTTGCTGTCTCATTCTTGCTGCACCTCCCTAACCTCTGACCCCTATCCTCTGACCCCTAACCTCTGACCCCTATCCTCTGACCCCTAACCTCTGACCCCTATCCTCTGACCCCTAACCTCTGACCCCTATCCTCTGACCCCTAACCTCTGACCCCTAACCTCTGACCCCTATCCTCTGACCCCTAACCTCTGACCCCTATCCTCTGACCCCTATCCTCTGACCCCTAACCTCTGACCCCTAACCTCTGACCCCCTAACCTCTGACCCCTAACCTCTGACCCCTGTCCTCTGACCCCTAACCTCTGACCCCTAACCTCTGACCCCTAACCTCTGACCCAGCATCGTGTTCTACGGAAGCCAGGGAACCATTTGGTATTGGAGGGTGAGGTGCTACTTTAGAATGGTGTTATAAAATAAAAATAAAGATTTGAATTGAATTATGAAACAATATAAGGAATATTGAATGAACGTGGAGAGAATGTGGATTTGTTAGTTTTAGGTGGTGTATGAGTTTTGAGAGTGATTATAATGCGAGGGGAGGAAGGATACGATCCTATCTTTGCTTGGCTAGTTTGGTCTGCTCTAAACCATGCCCTCCTTGATCTCTCTGAGATCTTTAGAACATTTATCAAACTTGTTTTGAAGTTTATGGTTAACATCAACGTCCTCCATCTTGTCAGAAAGCTGTTCTCAACCTCAGATCAAGCCAACACTTTTATTACAATACGTCTGTTGTTATGGTTAATCTCTCTGGTCAAATATAACTCTGTAATCTTCCTCTACGAAACAGTCCTGTGTCCCTGTAGTTTTAGTTTATTTTAGCATTTTTTTTATAAATCTATTTTATTTTGTTTTGATTTGATTTGGAGATGTTTCCGAGCTGCTAAATCAGTGTAGTTGAACAACAGGCCTTCTCTCTTCTGACTGTTGCCATAGTGACAACATTGAGAACAGGTGCAAATTATTTCTGCATATTATTGGCTGTAAAAAAAAAAAAAAAGAAGTTTGTATTTATTGTGTACAAATGTTAAATAATAAAACGGAGGGAAAAATACTTGTGTTACCCTTTTTATTCTTCACAGTAGACTTATAAGACTTGTGGTACAATATCTGTCTGGTGTGCGTGTGACTCAGAGAGGGTGTGTTCATTATCCAGAACAGCATCAGAAGGCAGTTTCCTGAAGGGAACAGCGAGGGGGAGGAGAGTCGGGGCGAGGGGGGGAGGGAGAATCGTTTAGGCAGGACTCACCACCCTGTGCTGGTTCGTTACTTTGGTCCTACTAAATAGTTTCCATATATTATTTTTTTTGTCCCGTGTGGATGCTATTTTCAGTTGATATTTTATTGTTGCCTCTGACAGACTCATGGATAACTCCCGAACAGCCTCATGCAAGTCCTGTGTCAAGGTTTACCTGTGCTCTAATCCAGAAGGTACAGCAGTTCTGACTGTGTGTGCTGTGTGTAACTGATTGGAGGAGGAATGGAAGTATAACCAGTGTGTGTGTTCTAGACTGCGTTGTGGAGCGCAGGGCTCTGAGAGAAAGTGTGTTTCCCAGGCTGAGGGAGCACTGCAGACACACACACGGACTGGACTTCAAGGTGAGAGATCACCTCTGTTTTGATGTCGGAATGGATATAATACTGTAGGAAGGTCTTATTTAGCTTGTCCTGTATCATACTGTAGGAAGGTCATATTTAGCTTGTCCTGTATCATACTGTAGGAAGGTCTTATTTAGCTTGTCCTGTATCAGTTGGTGAACTATTCAGTGCCCCTCATGGTGGAGAGACACGGAGAGTGAGATCAAAGCCTCTACAGAAGCCTGCCTTTAGGAGCAGTTAAACTCAATACATTCTACTGGGATAGAGGATGTTCTCACAATGGTGCCATGAAGAGAGAGGAGGGGAGGGGTTTGTTATTGTTGAGTATGAACAGGTGCTGAGTGACTGCGTGTGTGTTGAGTGTGAGTTTACCTTCAGGCAATATTATATGTTTGTGAAATTATCTCTATTGAGCAGCAGGAGTTATGAGCTTGATGAAGAGAACCGATATTCAGATGGACTAGAGGTTTTGTAAATGTATTTTTACAGCTGTGTGAACGATAATACATTTCATACTATATGTTTGACAATAAATAATCTCTCTCCAGAATATTGTAGTTAAGTAGACCCACACACTGAAGCTGACTCTCAGGTGACAATACTAGGCCCAGCTTTTGCTATGATCTAGGGAAGCTATAAAGGTCTGATTCAATATGATGTTCTGTGTGTGTGTGTGTAGGTGATAGACCCTTATGAAGCAAGTGATCCCAGAACAGGGCCAGACCAGCAGACTAGACAAAAGCTACTGCAGGCGTGTAGAGAAAGCTCTGATGGACCCTACCTAGTGGTAAGTCACTATATCTGTGTCCCAAATCAACCCCTACACCCTACTTAGTAAATTTAGTATAACCCTTGTCCCTAATCAACCCTACACAAATGTAGTAACTCCTGTACTTCTCTGTGTGTCCTGTGGGTGGTGCTGCAGGCTCTGGTGGGGGAACAGTATGGTGCTGCGTGTTTACCTGCCCAGGTGGAGGTGGCAGAGTTCCACATGCTGCTCCAGGTGTGCCAGCGAGCGGGCATCAGTACCCACACTCTAGAGAAGGAATACCTGAGAGACGAGAATACAGTACCCCCGTCCTTCTGTCTGCAGCGACACAAACGCCTTCACACACATCCGCACCCCGACACACAGGTGAGGACAAATCACCAGGTAGACACACACACACACACACACACACACACACACACACACAGTGCAGCACAGATCATGATGATCTTTTTCTCAGACAGATGAGAAGACAGGAGAAACAGGTGTCGAAGAGGAGGAGGAGATGAGGAAGGTTTTGCAGGCTGCTGTGAGTCAGTGTGTTCAGGAGGGTCTCCTAACAACAGAGAGAGCCCTTGGCTACTACAGGTCAGGTGAGCGAGATGTGTGAGTGAAATGATCGTGAAAAAGAACGATCTGCACACTGAAATGCATAAGAGAATGTTTCAAAGCGAGGCTTAAATAGCAAAATACTGTTTTCTAGTTTTTATTTATTCTTTAACTACACTGAACTAAAATATAAACGCAACAATTTCAAAGATTTTACTGAGTTACAGTTCATATAAGGAAATCAGTTAATTGAAATAAATTCATTACGCCCTAATCTATGGATTTCACATGACTGGGAATACAGATATGCATCTGTTGGTCACAGATACCTTAAAAATAAAGGTAGGGGCGTGGATCAGAAAACCAGTCAGTATCTGGTGTGACCACCATTTGCCTCATGCAGCGCGACACATCTCCTTCGCATAGAGTTGATCAGGCTGTTGATTGTGGCATGTGGAATGTTGTCCCACTCCTCTTCAATGGCTGTGTGTTGCTGGATATTGGCGAGAACTGGAACACGCTGTCGTACATGTCGATACAGAGCATCCCAAACATGCGCAATGGGTGCTTGGATTTTGCCAACCATAATGATTGTTGCCTATGTAGGCCTATTGGATAATTATTAAATCATTATTTATTGAAGTTCTTGTCTCTCATCATCATTGAATCTCTATGCTAGCTAGCTACATGCTAATGATTTGTTTATCGAATGAATAGAATGATTAGAATGAATGACTGGGTCAAAACATGAGAATATAACTAATAACCAGCCTGCTTGGCTAGAAACTAATGTACTCTTTAAAATAATGTTGTTAATTTAAAAAAATTTTTTTATATTTTTTATAAATATGTTGCCAAACGTTTTATAAAAGCAATGAGGCCCTCGAACCCTAGGATTATCGTGTGATAAATCCCTCCTAAGGGCTGTTCCTAAAAGCTCTGACACACCGGTAAGATTGTTAAACGTTTGCCTGCCGACAGTACTTGGCACCTCTGAATAGTGTCGGCAGTCAATCTCTTTTGTGTTCACACAGAAAAGACCTTGGAAGTCGTCAGCCTCTCAGCCTTGTTAAAATACTACAACCCAGAAGGTGGCAGTAGTGTTGTCTGGCAATACATATCTGTGCGTATTGCTTATGGTCATATTCCTAGCTATCTGCGCTAAAGTTGCTATTTTGTAGAAAGCCCTTGTTGATACTAGCCAGATGGCCACAGTTAGATATCTACCTAGCAAGATGGTCCTCTGTAGCTCAGCTGGTAGAGCACGGCGCTTGTAACGCCAAGGTAGTGGGTTCGATCCCCGGGACCACCCATACACAAAAATGTATGCACGCATGACTGTAAGTCGCTTTGGATAAAAGCGTCTGCTAAATGGCATATTATATTATTATTTATTTTAAACAATTTAATTCACCTCTCCATAATCCCATGCTGCCAGTGCCAGCCCATTGCCAAATGTTTAGCTAGCTAGCTAACGTTAGCATATACGCTAGCTATCATAACATAGCTAGCTAGCTAGCTAAGGACATTGCACTAATTTGGCAGCTTCATGAAAACGAGCTAATCCATTGTGATTTCATTACAACAAAGACAGTACAATTTGAATATAGGCTAAAACTGCTTCTCCAATAGAAATCCCAGATCACATTTGTAAGGGATGTCATGGCGACATTGGCTAGCAAAACTCATGCATAGAAACAAGTCATCGGGTCTAACGGACGTATCGCGCCGAACTACGCATGTGCAGGCTATCAACTCAAAGGCACTCCTTCGATATAAAGTTGTTTTTGACGAAAATGAAAACGTGTCAGTTTGTCACTTTCACGAGGTTGGAGTAATAACATGTTCAACTACTTAAGACATTGGCTCGAATCTAGGTTGTGCCTTTAGATTTAGAGGAAATTAACAATTAAGGAAGAATTCTTCACTTCTCTCATTGACTTCTCAAACCCCAAAGCCTGGTCTGTTTCGCAAGCGTTCCCGGAAGTCTTGCGATGTTGCGGCTCTGGGTTTCGAAACTCTGCGATTATAATGTCAATACTAGCTACAGTGGTTAGCTAGATTGGAGCATCTGTGCATTTAGTTAGCTAACATCCCATAGCCTACGTTGCATATTAAGTGTGACTGGCTTATCCGGGGATGTACAGAGATGCAGTGGGAGAAAATGCACTCTTTTTTTCTTCTTTTTTTGTTGGCTCATCCACGTGGAGGTTCGTGCTTCATAGAAAGTGTTACCATCCATCTTTATTGTTATCAGTAAATATAGACAATTTCTAGCAGCTATTTTTTTTCCAAGTCTTTAAACTTTCCACAACATGGGAAAAAAACGGAAGTGGGCACAAAGTCAAAATCAAAACAGTTGTTTTATAGATCATTAAAATAATGGGCTCACATACAGTATGTCATCTGTAAGTCAGAATGCAGAGTGAGGTGCACTGGGTGGTCAGTCCAGGACCTGCATCTCTATGCTGGAGGAAACCTCTGCTTGTTGCTGCTTCCATCTCCTGGTGTAAACTGTTACTATAATCACCATAAAAGGCAGAGCTACACAGAGCACTATATGACTGATGTGGGTGTGAACAGTGTTACAGGTAGCTGTGGGAGTGGTAGAGGGACTGACAGATGGAGGACTGTGGCCTGTGAAAGTGAATGGGGCTCAGAAGTCAATGGAGGTCTTCACTGTTCCTTTGTCAGTCAGCTGGCATCTCTACTTCCTGTTGTTGTCCTCTTCTTGGAGTGTCACTGTCAGAGGGATGTCACAGACAGACACCTGTGTGAGCTGGTATCTGGATTCTCCCTGCAGCTCTGTACCACTCTCATTTACCCAGCTTAAACTAACACTCCTAAGAGCAAATTATGAGTAACCGTTTCTAGGACCATCAAAAGAGCACAGAGAGCAGCTCAAGGTCAACGCCTCATGAGGTTTTAGATCTGTCACTGATGTGGATGAGGAAATGGAGACGCCAGACAGATAAACCTGTGTAACCTCACCGAAGTTCTTGGCTTCATCCTCAATGTATTGCTCACAGATATAGATCCCAGCATCCTCAGCTCTGACAAGCTGAGAGCAGTTAGACCCCACCTTCAGTCTCTCAGCTCTCTCTGAGTTTTCAACACACAGTAGCCTACCAGTCAGGAGAAGAGCAGTGCTGATCATCCGTAGCTCCACCAGAAGAAGGGATGTAGCTCAGTTGGTAGAGCATGGCGTTTGCAACGCCAGGGTTGTGGGTTCGATTCCCACGGGGGGCCAGTATGAAAAAATAAAAAATAATGTATGCACTATGGATAAGAGCGTCTGCTACATGACTAAAATGTAAATGTAAAAATGTAAAGTCCAGTATGCTTGTCCACAGCCATGACCTCTCTGTTTTCAGAGTGTGTAATAGTAATGTGTCTCTATAGCCCTTCTAGGTAGAGATTACCATGTGACTTCCTCTTCAGCCTCGACCAATGAGAAGTGACTGAATGGAAACTACATAATGTACCACCTGTGTCCAGCTAGGCCAGACAATTTTCAAGGTTGTGGTTTTTGTTCGGTTCTAAACATATGAGCCACATGAACCCACACTCAGCCCCCATAAGCAACCTAAAACACTGTTGCTATGTCTCTGTCCCCATAGTAACAGATACCCCAGTATCTTTCTATAATCTTGATTTGCACATCCGTCTGAAGAAAGATGTGAAGGTGTGAAATGACTCAATGTTCCCTTCATTGAGGTGCTGTGTTCAAGAGAGAACAGGTGACCTCACCCCCATCTCTCTCTGTAGGTGTAAAGTAAAGGAAGTGGTCGGAGTTGAACAACATCCACTGAAAGAAAGACGAACTGCACTTATATTCACCTCTCTGACATTTTAAATAGCTCCATCACTGTAGTGGGATTTCAGCATATCTAGAGGAATTGTACATTCTTCACACGTCTCTCCAGCCATTGAAGTTATTTTAAGTTGTCCAACAGATCACTATGTAATATCCTCTTTATTAAGGTGTACATTTGAAAACTCTATCTCTCCAGCTCTCGACACAGACCTGCGATTCGCTCTGGAGAACCGTCCTAGACATGACATCATCAAACGCTGCCTGGTCTATGTCAACAAGATCTCCAATGGGCGGGGCCAGAGTGAGGGGGCAGACCAATCCCCTAAAGAGCAGCTCCTACACCCCTATCCACCACTCAAGGTAGATGCTTCGCTTAATAACTGATCTAGAATCAGATTACCTTCCCCCCAACCTCAACCTGGGGATGACAAATATCTGACCCTTTATCAGTGGTATTAGGTAAGGAGTAACGTCATCCCCCATCTACCACAGGCTCTGTCCGATGACAGCCTCCTGACCCAGCTCTGTGACCACTTCCTGCCCAGCATGGTGACTTCCTGTCAGCTCCTGGTGTACACCGCAACTTCGGAATGTGACCCTCGTCATGGTTACACCCCCGCCAGGAGGAGGAGCTATGCGGAGGGTCTCTGCCAGCAGCTTTACTCCGACCTCCTGGCTCTGATTGACAGCTCTGTCGCCATGGGAATGGGCAAGTCAGTATTGTCACCTCGTTCTGATGCGTTGACCAGAGAGCAGGCTGAGCAGGAGGAGCTGTGTTCTCTCTATTCCCGTCTCTATGACAACAATCGGCCAGAGGAAGAGGAAGTCAGGTCTTACCTGGAGCAGAAGGAAACACAACACCCACTAGTGGTCGTCGGAGGGCCGTGCACAGGGAAAACTGTGCTGCTGGCACATTGTGCACAACAGGTAGATGGAGCAGTAACTCAGGACATGGGCCATACAGTATCTCATAGAAGTGATTTGAAGTAGAAACTACCTATAGCTTACTTCTATAACACATTACTAGCTACATTACTGACTGAATATCCAGACAACATACATTATAATATCTAATAATATCTTGCTTTAGAAGAGATCTGCAGGGTTCAATCCCAAATGACTGGGACTGCACTGATTGGCGGCGCCATATAACAGCCTGTTTCTCTCTCCTCTCTTCTGCAGGTGAGGTCGTGGCTGAGCGACAGGGATCCAGTGGTGATTATCCAGTTCACCAACCTGTCAGTCAACCTCTCACCTAGACACCTTCTCTCCAGCCTGTGCCACCAGATAGCTCACAGATACAACCATAACCCCAGTACCAGAGACCCTGACCCTACCCTCCCCCAGCTCAGATATAACCTTTCCTCCCTCCTCTCCGTCTCCCCCTCCCCTAAACAACCCCTGGTCCTCATCCTCGACGGCCTAGACCAAGGTTTGACCGTCTCCGGACCCCAAACCATCCAGTGTCTCCCTTCCCCCCTCCCTCCCAACGTCAAACTCATTCTCTCCATCTCCCCCACCCGAACCAATACCCTCCACACCCTTGAACTCCATTACCCACAATCCTCCTCTGCAGTGTTTGGTGTCTCAGGGTGCTGTGTGAGTGTGGAGCTGGGGCCGGTGGAGGGGAGTGGGTGTGTGAGGATGTTGACGGCCCTCCTGGAGAAGTCAGGAAGGAGAGTGACATCGGGACAGCAGGGGGTCGTGAACTTGGCCGTGATCTCCTGCCCTCTGACCCTCTACGCTCGCCTCCTGCACAGACACGCCTCGCTGTGGACCTCAGGTACACATCAAAACACAGTATACACACATCTATCTCTATATACAGTTGAAGTCGGAAGTTTACATACACCTTAGCCAAATACATTAAAACTTAGTTTTTCACAATTCCTGACATTTAATCCTAGTAAAAATTCCCTGTCTTACGTCAGTTAGGATCACCACTTTATTTTAAGAATGTGAAATGTCAGAATAATAGTAGAGAGAATGATTTATTTCAGCTTTTATTTCTTTCATCACATTCCCAGTGGGTCAGAAGTTTACATACACTCAATTAGTATTTGGTAGCATTGCCTTTAAATTGTTTAACTTGGGTCAAACGTTTCAGGTAGCCTTCCACAAGCTTCCCACAATAAGTTGGGTGAATTTTGGCCCATTCCTCCTGACAGAGCTGGTGTAACGGAGTCAGGTTTGTAGGCCTCCTTGCTCGCAAACACTTTTTTAGTTCTGCCCACACATTTTCTATAGGATTGAGGTCATGGCTTTGTGATGGCCACTCCAATACCTTGACTTTGTTGTCCTTAAGCCATTTTGCCACAACTTTGGAAGTATGCTTGGGGTCACTGTCCATTTGGAAGACCCATTTGCGACCAAGCTTTAACTTCCTGACTGATGTCTTGAGATGTTGCTTCAATATATCCACATAATATTCCTTCCTCATGATGCCATCTATTTTGTGAAGTGCACCAGTCCCTCCTGCAGCAAAGCACCCCCACAGCATGATGCTGCCACCCCCGTGCTTCACGGTTGGTGTGGTGTTCTTCGGCTTGCAAGCGTCCCCCTTTTTCCTCCAAACATAACGATGGTCATTATGGCCAAACAGTTCTATTTTTGTTTCATCAGACCAGAGGACATTTCTCCAAAAAGTACGATCTTTGTCCCCATGTGCAGTTGCAAACCGTAGTCTGGCTTTTTTATGGCGGTTTTGGAGCAGTGGCTTGTTCCTTGCTGAGCGGCCTTTCAGGTTATGTCGATATAGGACTCGTTTTACTGTGGATATAGATACTTTTGTACCTGTTTCCTCCAGCATCTTCACAAGGTCCTTTGCTGTTGTTCTGGGATTGATTTGCACTTTTCGCACCAAAGTACGTTCATCTCTAGGAGACAGAACGTGTCTCTTTCCTGAGGTGTTTATACTTGCGTACTATTGTTTGTGCAGATGAACGTGGTACCTTCAGGCGTTTGGAAATTGCTCCCAAGGATGAACCAGACTTGTGGAGGTCTACAATTTTATTTCTGAGGTCTTGACTGATTTCTTTTGATTTTCCCAGCAAAGAGGCACTGAGTTTGAAGGTAGGCCTTGAAATACATCCACAGGTACACCTCCAATTGACTCAAATGATGTCAATTAGCCTATCAGAAGCTTCTAAAGCCATGACATCATTTTCTGGAATTGTCCAAGCCGTTTAAAGGCACCGTCAACTTAGTGTATGTAAACTTCTGACCCACTGGAATTGTGATACAGTGAATTATTAGTGAAATAATCTGTCTGTAAACAATTGTTGGAAAAATTACTTGTGTCATGCACAAAGTAGATGTCCTAACCGACTTGCCAAAACTATAGTTTGTTAACAAGAAATGTGTGGAGTGGTTGAAAAACAAGTTTTAATGACTCCAACCTAAGTGTATGCAAACTTCCGACTTTAACTGTATCTGGAGCTAATTTCTCTTTCTCTCTGTCCTCTCTCGCGCTCTCCCTCTCAGCATCAGAGGTGACTGATGGGACCCTTCCTGTGGGTGTCCACTCCAGCATCACAGTGTTTCTGGGTCACCTAGAGGAGAAACATGGGTTGGCTCTGGTGTCCCGAGCCCTGAGCTACCTGACCCTCTCCAGGACCGGACTCACAGAGGCTGAGCTCTCTGACCTCCTGTCCAGTGATGACGAGGTGCTGGCTGGTTACGTCTCGGCCAGTGAGCCCCCTCCCTCCAGGGCTAGGGTACCTGAGGTGGAAGTGGAGAGGCTGTTGTTGGATCTGAAGGGGTTTCTGGTGAAGAGGAGTGTTGCGGAGTCTCATGTGCTGTTCTGGGTCAGTAGACATTTTGGGTTGGTGGTGTGTAAGAGGTACCTGAGCTCCTGTGAGATGAGGGAGGAGATGCACACAGCGATGGCCGACTATTTTAATGGTCGCTGGGCCTATGGTAGAGCCAAACCACTAGTCATCAGCCAGAACACAGGACTCAACCAGCCTGGGGCTGTCCCTGACACTGCCCGAATGAAAATATACATCGACAGGCAGCCTCCTGGTCAACCCTATGTGTTTAACTCTGAACCCTCCTCATCCTCTTCCTCCCCCTCTTCTGAGCATGTGCGAGTCAACCTGCACAAGCTTCTGGAACTGCCCTATCACCTGAAGGAGAGTGGCAGGTGGGAGGAGCTAGGGCGAGGGCTGATGATGTCACTGGAGTTCCATCAGGCCATGCTGAGGGCGGGGCTCCTGGGGGATCTGGTAACCCTGCTGGAAGATGGGGAAGGGGAGGGGGCATCCCAGCTCATCTTCCCCAGGGAGAGAGCTCTTCTGGCGGGCATACTGAGGGACTCAACCTGCCTCCTCTGGCGCTCCCCTATGGAGCTGTCCATGGTGATGAAGGTCAGGCTGCTTCCTTTCCTGGGGCTCTGTCCTGAGCTGGAGGGCTATGCTGAGGAGGTGACACAGGGGATCAGGAAGAGGGGCCGTGGGTTAGGAGTGGTGCTCAGTCCTGCCCCCTCTACTGTACCCTCCACACAGTGTTTACTTCCAGAGGCCAGACAGTGTCCTGTTACCGATGCAGCGGGGACAGTGTCTGGGACTGTGGTTGTGATACAGAGTGATGGCTCTGCTTGGGTGTGGAGGGGTAGGGAGGCCGAGGAACTGAAATTGAGCTGTGAACCTCCGCTGAGGTACGTAAGTGTCCGGAGTAGTGGGAGTTTCATCCTCCTCTCGACTCAGTGCAACAGACAGCTCCTGTGGGATGTGAACGGGACAACGTTTTTCCAGGACATACTGAGTCTAGAAAGACGGGAGCCAAAACCAACAGACCAACACGCCAGGACCATAGTTGAAGGGTTCCTCGTGTGTGATGACAGGATGTGTGTGTGGTGGAAAGGTCTGAGCTACGTGAGTGTCTCTAAAGTTTCCACCAGCAAACTCCTCACCCGTTTGCAGTGCCAGAACACTGTGAGGAGTGTGTCTTTTCCCTCTAGTGGTCGGTTTGTGTACTGTGGCCAGGAGAAAGGCGCAGTGTCTATATTTGACACTTCTACAGGCACTCTCACTGCTACCTGCTCCAGTCCAGCAGAGTCGTCCGTCATCTCTGTGATTCTCAGTGAGGATGAGGGGGAGATGGCGTGTGTCGACAGCAGAGGGAACATATTGTTATGGGGCGTAGCGACCAAAACAGCTCCCAAACTCCTAAAGGAGTGTTGTAGTGGCAGCAGCCATTTTGAGTTAATCAATACAGACCTATCAGAAGAGAGTAGTATTCTGCTGGTGTGTAAAACCCAGGAGATTGTTCTCTGGGACACGTGTGACTGGGAGCAATGTGACCACTTCAGAGCTCCACAGGGGAAGGCCTTCTCTCAGGCGTTGTTAGCCCAGGACGGACACCTCATCCTGGCTTCGCTAGAGGCCTGTCCCTCTGTGCTGGTGTGGAGGATGACCACTGGTCAGTGTGTCCTCTCCTTAGACACTGGCAGTCCCTCCCAACCCCTCTCACTGCTCAAGATGGAGTGTGTCCTCTCAGTGGTCACACAAAATGGCCACCTCACTAAGTGGGACTCAGAGGTAATATGTGCTGCGGCTATGGTCCCTAGAACGGGGGCAGGCGTGAGGGAGGTGGTGCTGGAGCCAATGGGAGAGCGGTTCTATGTGATTGACGGCTCAGAGGTGTTGTGGAGGTGGAGCTTACAGACAGGAAGTCCGGAGGCTCACTTCCTGCACGACGGCCCCGTGGAGAAGCTGTGTCTCTCTCCAGACGGCAGCCATCTTGTGAGCCTCTCAGGGGAGGATGTTTACGTGTGGCGGAGCGACACGGGACAGAACCTCCACCGTATCCATGGGAGCAGAGCTACAGAGGTTCTGATCACTTCTAACGGTCACATCGGGGTGTGTGTGTCGCAGCTCGGCCTGTCCAGGGTGTGGAAGCTGGCCAGTGGGGGCGTGGTCTGTAACATTCACCTGTACCTGGCTGACGCCCAGGTCTCACCTGAGAGCACCTTCCTGTTAGGCCGTCATCATGGCGACCTGCTCGCCGTCAGCCTGTGGTCTGGCACCGTCAGTAAGCGCTTCTCGTGCTCAGAACGCTATGAACGTTCTACGGTCGTGGCCTTCCGGACCCTGCCGGAACACCCTGACTTTGTGATCGTGATGGCTGCCTCTGGGTCTGTGTACACTTGGAGGGTGACAGAGGAGACGGTATGCCGACAGTTTCTGCTCCCCCAGATGTTCCTGTGCCAGCCACAGGTCTTCCACATGTCCTCTGATGGGAGCTTTGCTGTGCTGTCCACTGATGATGACCTCATCACCCTGCTGGACCTGCCCCATGCCAGGCTGTGTAGGGTCAAGGCCCAGGGTCCAGTCCTCAAAGTTTGCTTGGACGACTCTGGACGCTACGCTGTCTACATCTGCCACCCCCCTGCCCAGGGTAATGGCTGTGCCTGTGACCTGCACACTAAGCCAATGCTGGCAGTGGTACGGCTGGCTGACGGGGGGAGACTGGGGAGGTTGTGTCTATGTAAGACCCCCACAGCTCTGGCTGTGAGTGAGGAGCTGTGTGTGTATGTGGGCTTCCAGGATGGGTCTGTGGGCGTGTACTCCATCTCTGACGTCACAGGAAGAGGAGGGGCTGTCAGGGGAAGGATCGAAGGGATTGGTCGGGAGAGGCCATGCCGGTGTGACAGTGAGCCAGTGCGATGGTTGCCCCTAGCAACACCCAGCATCACATGGGCCAAGTCTTCTTCAGAGATGACATAACAGATGTAGGCCCAACTTGTGTCTTGTTGCCCAGTTTCCTTCTTTATTCATTTTTTATTTATTTTTGTCCATTGTTACCTGTTAGTAAATGGATTAATAAATAAAATTGATATTAAAATTGTTGTTTTCTGTCCAATATCAATGCTCATATTTGTTCAGCCTGTTGATATGAAACTGGTTACATCATTCTTGATATGCGATGGTGCACATTAACCCTATGAGGTAACCGAATGATTGTGGCTTGCATTCAGAAATAAATTGTCCTATCAGCACAGGTGACAGAGGTCCACCCAAGGTCACATCTGTACCAAAAGTGTCAGATCTTTAGTAACGACAGCAGTAACGACTGGTGTGCTTAAGATACAGTGAGGGAAAAAAGTATTTGATCCCCTGCTGATTTTGTACGTTTGCCCACTGACAAAGACATGATCAGTCTATAATTTGAATGGTAGGTTTATTTGAACAGTGAGAGACAGAATAACAACAACAAAATCCAGAAAAACGCATGTCAAAAATGTTATAAATTGATTTGCATTTAAATGAGGAAAATAAGTATTTGACCCCTCTGCAAAACATGACTTAGTACTTGGTGGCAAAACCCTTGTTGGCAATCAGAGGTCAGACATTTCTTGTAGTTGGCCACTAGGTTTGCACACCAAGTACTTGTAGCCCATTCCAGCCTTGTGTAGGTCTACAATCTTGTCCCTGAAATCCTTCGAGAGCTCTTTGGTCTTGGCCATGGTGGAGAGTTTGGAATCTGATTGATTGATTGCTTCTGTGGACAGGTGTCTTTTATACAGGTAACAAACTGAGATTAGGAGCACTCCCTTTAAGAGTGTGCTCCTAATCTCAGCTCGTTACCTGTATAAAAGACACCTGGGAGCCAGAAATCTTTCTGATTGAGAGGGAGTCAAATACTTATTTCCCTCATTAAAATGCAAATGAATTTATAACATTTTTGACATGCGTTTTTCTGGATTTTTTTGTTGTTATTCTGTCTCTCACTGTTCAAATACACCTACCATTAAAATTATAGACTGATCATGTCTTTGTCAGTGGGCAAACGTACAAAATCAGCAGGGGATCAAATACTTTTTTCCCCTCACTGTAGGGGTACTATAGAGTACTATAGGAATACTATAGAGTACTATAGAGTACTATAGAGTACCATATAAACTGTATGTATTAATGAATCTGGGTCTGTAAAGACATCAGACAAGCCTCAGCTTTAAAGGTAGACTACGCTAAATGACGTGGCCACGAGCAGCACAGCAGATATTGAGATGAGCGAGATGCAAGTCTTCGCTCTCACAGTCACACAAAGTATCTGCACGCGCACAGTGGGGTAGCCAGGGCACCAAAACAGAGAAGTTGTTGAGCTTCGCTCTTCAACACTCTTTGACCCACTACACTGTTTAATGTTTACTTTCTGCATCTACGTCATATAGCTGAGTCTACCTTTAAGATGGGGGGGGGGCTTAAATATTAAATCCTGTTCTGATGAAAAAGAGCTTTATGGAAACTTGTGGTCTGAGCTGCACCTCCCCCAATGCATATCACATTCCCTCTCTTACACATATTTACTCAATCTCGCGCTCTCCCGACTACATTCGCAATCACACAATCGCTCTCTCTTTTTAAAAAAACACACACTAACCAGCCCACCAAACAGAAGGACTAAGGTCAAACAAATTAATTAATTTAAAGGATTTTCTGATTTCTGATTTGTGTGTGTCTGTGTGTTCTGGGTTTGGTCATTTCCTATGTGAGAGTGTGCTGACAGATGGGTTAGAATCATCAGCTAGGTGGGAACCTTCCTCTCTCTGTCTGTCCCTGACCTTCTGCCTACACCCCTGTGGACAGACCTGAACACACACACACACACACACACACCACACACGCATACACACACTACACTATTATTCCTTCCCCACCCTTGTATGGGGTCAAAACATAAAGGTTTGTTGGGATCAAAGACTTTGGAGACTTTGTTGTCTACCACAGGAGGCTGCTGAGGGGAGGACGGCTCATAATAATGGCCGGAACGGAGCGAATGGAATGGCATCAAACACATGGAAACCATGGAAACCACGTGTTTGATGTATTAGATATAATTCCGCTCCAGCCATTAGCACGAGCCCATTCTCTCGAATTAAGGTGCCACCAACCCCCCTGTGTTGTCTATAGTTCTGCTACTGACATTTTAAAGACATAGTCTAGGACTGGTTGTAAATGTTTTAGCTCATGTTCAAACAAAAAAAAATGTTTTGAACATACATAATATATCATGAAATAATTTATTTTGCTCATGTGCATATTTGAGGCAATCTTTAGGGACCCCACTGTTACTCATGAGCACCCCCTAGTGGAGGTTCCAGAATACAGTATACCGTGGCGTGAAAGATGAGAACTAAACATTTTCAGAAATGCAGCTTAATCCTAACAACCAATATCTACCAAAACAAACCTTACACTGACCCTAGCTACTTAACCCAAAACTACCTAAAGTCCCCATCTGATGTTTTTTCCCTCCACATTGAATCAGCAAGCAATCTGATGCACACACACACACACATGCTCATACACACATACACACACACACACACAAACGTGACAGCTCATCTATCCATTTCCCAGCATCCTCCAACTTCAGTTCGCCCATCCAGGGCGCCTGCTGTGATTGGTTGAAAAAGGCTGTGGAGTGTGACCTCCAAGGATGCTGGGTTGAGAACCAGAAAGCGAATGTATCTGCAACTATCCATCATGTTGTTCATCTGCAGGTTCACTGAATTCTGCAAAGCAAAGGTGGCCAGCGCAGGGACAGAAGGACAGAGCAGCATTGACTCATTCTTGACCACCACAGGTGTCCATGTGTACAGCCAGGGCCACCCCAGGTAAGAAGGCCATAAACAGAGGCTATACTGCAAGACCTGATCATTTTCCTGCAACTGCCTATGTCCTTAGTGGACAACCCTTACTTTAGGCATTTATGTCAGTGGTAGATGACAAATATAGACCAGTAAGTAGGCCACGTGACCAGGCGCCTGCATGACTTAACACTGAACAAAGAGGCTACAATCAAAGTGCCTGAGAAGACAGAATCAGTGTCTGTCGCTGTAGATATATGGACTGACAGGACCATGAGGGGCTTCATGGGAGTAACGGCCCATTACATGGCCACGGAAGAGAAAAAAACTCCCAGACTGGAGTCAGTTCTGTTGAGCTGTGATAGATTCACAGGGTCACACACTGGGGAAAGAATCAGTGATACATTTGAAGTAATATGTGATAATTTTGGCATAAAACATAAATTAGATTATATCATATGTGATAACGCTGCAAATATGAAAAAGGCCTTCACAGTTTGTTTCCCCAAAGCAAGCAATGATCATGATGATGATGATGATGATGATGTGGATAACCCCAGCCTATGGGAAGAATTTGGTGAAGAGTACAATGCTGATGTTGAAGCTATCCAAACCAACTGCAGGCAACAGCGCTTACAGTGCTTTGCCCATTCATTACAACTGGTGATTAGAGATGGACTAAAGGAAACAACAATCATAAACAGTGTGACGGCTAAGGTAACTAAACTTTGCAGCTTACTACATACTACCTGTGGTCTGAAAGAAGCATTTGAAGCTGAGTTCGGGAGCCAATCGTAGTATCCCTGCTGCTGTGTCTACCAGAAGGAATTCCATCCTGTTAAAGCAGTCACCAATCGGAATCAACAAAGCCTCAATACTCTACTTGAGTCCCAAGGACACAAGGAGCTCTGCTTATCACCAAGGGAATGGAGCCAGCTATTGGAGCTAGTGGACATTTTGACATTTTGTCCAGGCCACCGACCTTACTCAGGGGGGAGAAAGTGGTGACTCTCAGTGCTGCCCTTCCTTGTGTACTGTCACTCAACTATCATCTGCAAAGTATACTGAGCACAAGTCGTCACCTAGTCAGTCTAGTAAAAGCACTGCAGCAGTCCCTCAAACGCCGATTCCAGGGGATGTGTGCGAATGTCAGAATGGAGCACTCGGATGAACAGGCAACAAAACGCCCATTTGGTGACAATGTATACATAATGGCTGCACTGCAGGACCCATCTTTCTGCCTGTTCTGGCTTGATCATGATGTCCTCATACCACATGAAGATAAAGCTGAATTGAAGGAGAGTCTGATTGGTAGGTACAATGCATTGCAACATGCAACATTATTTTCTATGCCACTTGCATTCAAATAATAATGATTTGTTTTCATGTATAATGTATCCTGTTATATTCTTGATTTATATACATCATTTTATGTATTTATTTCAGACCTTGTTTTCGCTGAGACACGGAAAGTCACCGTTACGGAGAGCAGTAGTGGAGAAGAAGAACAACCACCTGCCAAAACCTCCAGACTGTTGTCTACGGCAACAAGATCAGCAAGAAGAAAGGAGACATAAAGTCATCTGTCAGAGCAGAGATTATTCGCTACATTCAAGATTTTGGAGAATCCATGCGAAAGACTTTCCAAGGCTCAAGCAGTAGCAATGACAGTGTTGGCTGTGCCTGCCACCAGTGCCCCCAGTGGAGAGAGTGTTTAGTCACGGAGGCCTCATCGTGCGCCCTCATCGTGCCAGGGTCAGCGCAAGAACGCTGACAAACTTGATCTTTCTGAAATGTAACCGGTCTGCAACAGAAATGTTCTCCGTCTTAGGGCACAGGACGTAATTTGCTACTTGTTACAGGAAATGGTGTTCCTGTTGTTAAGTGTCCAGGTCAGTAAGTATATTTTAGGTAATAGATCACTTTAGTAGGGCAGTTATTGAACAGTTATCAGTCATTTTAGTTTACATTTATACTTGTCATTTATCTTCCCTCCCCTACAGATGTTCTGTTTGTGTGACAGAATGAAGTGAAATATAGACAATGTCTGCCACAAAATACCACGCACTTTAAAATGTCATGTTAGCTTTTTTACCATATCCGGTACAGTTACTTTCATTCATGTAAACTGTCTACATTTTTAAAAGGACATTTATTTTGATTTAAATTGTGCCTGATGTGCTTTCTTTCATACAAGTATGGACTAATGAAGGGAGTCTCTTCAAATCATTTACAAGGTTTATAGACCTAACCCACAGCAAGCAGAAAGCCATTGCCAAAAGGGACTTGTGACTTGACTTAGACTTGGCCCTAAAAGACTTGAGACTTGACTTAGACTTGGCCCTAAAAGACTTGAGACTTGACTTGGACTCTACCTCGAAGACTTGTGAACATCTCTGATATCGTCTACTCTGTGTTTTGACTGAGAAGTGGAAAACCTCTCTGTGTCGCTCACCAGACTGATGAAGATGAAGAATAGTTGGATGAAGTCTGTGTAGAGCCCTCCCAGCACTGTGTAGGTGATGGTTACTGCTGCAGACAGAGCAATGGATTAGGAGGAGGACAGGCCCAGAATCACACTCATTATCCCTCCTGCAACACACACACACACACACACACAGACGCACGCACGCACGCACGCACACACACACACACACACACACACACACACACACACACACACACAGACGCACGCACACACAAAAGTTTATAATCCTTTGCTTGGACGCAGAGTTCATCAATAACCAACCATTAGTTTGAGGGTCAGAGGTCGGGGGTTACTGACCCAGGGCAGCGAGGATGCTGGCCACCCAGAGCACGTCACTAATCAGGGCGGGAAGCAGTAATGCCGTGGTGAAGGAGTTTCCATAGCGACGCTGAAACCGGTCCATCATTGTCAAGTAGCGCTGTGATCTCATTGGCACATTGTATTTAGAAAACATGGTTTAGAAAACGTATAAAAGACAGAACAGTAATGAAATCCCACATCTCTCTGTGCATACATGATGCCAAATAACATTTCCCTAAGGAGATAATCAAGTCAGCATCATTAAGTAAGTAAGCCTAAGTAATGATAAGCAGGTGTATATCGCTAATGAGCGATATTCATACGGCCTGCTGCCAGCTAGTGGATGTTGTGCTGCTGAGGCTAATACCTGTGTTAGTGGGTGGTATGTTGCTAATGCTAGCTGCCTATGTTAATGTATTGTGTGTAGCTAATGCTAATACGAGCTACAGAAGTGTCAAGTTTTAATGTCCAAGCCCAACAATGCAGTAATCAATATCAATGTACTGGCAAAAAATTATATGAAGTAGAACAAAAACACACGAGAAATAAAAATAAGAAGAACACGAGAAAGTAAGAAGCTACATATACACATCCAGGGTCAGTTCCAGTTCCATTTTTACAACGTGCAGGGATACTGGAGTACCTGTGTTAGTGTGTTTAGTGGATGATGTGTTGCTAATGCTATCGTGTTGTTAATACTAATGCTTGCAACCTGAATGGGTGGACGGTGTTTTGCTAATGCTAACGCTAGCAATAATAATGGCGCCGGAGAAGAAGGCTGCCGTTTTACAGCCCTCTAACCAATTGTACTATTATGTATGTTTTTCCACGTTATTTGTAATTTATTTTGTACATAATGTTTCTGCCATCGTCTCTTATAACCAAAAAGAGCTTCTGGATATCAGGACAGCGATTACTCACCTCGTATTGGACGAAGATTTTTTCTTCAACGAGGCGGCCGCGAAGGATATACTACAGACACCCGACAAGGCCCAAATCCCCGTCATTCGTATGAGGAAGAGACGGAGATATCGTGGACGTAGGTCGGGGTGCCTTGGAAGGATCCGACGGCGAGCGAGTAAACTGCCGCTCCCATCAATCCTATTAGCCAATCTTCAATCATTTGAGAATAAATTGGATGACTTAAGATTACGGTTATCCTACCAACGGGACATTAAAAACTGTAATATCTTATGTTTCACCGAGTCGTGGCTGAACGACGACATGGACAACATACAACTAGCGGGCTATACGCTACATCGGCAGGATAGAACGGCTGACTCCGGTAAGACAAGGGGTGGCGGTCTGTGTATATTTGTAAACAACAGCTGGTGCACAAAATCAAATACTAAGGATGTCTCGAGGTTTTGCTCGCCTGAGGTAGAGTATCAACTCCCGAGTGGCGCAGTGGTCTAAGGCACTGCATCGCAGTGCTATCTGTGCCACTAGAGATCCTGGTTCGTATCCAGGCTCTGTCGTAGCCGGCCGTGACCGGGAGACCCATGGGGCGGCGCACAATTGGCCCAGCGTCGTCCAGGGTAGGGGAGGGAATGGCCGGCAGGGATGTAGCTCAGTTGGTAGAGCATGGCGTTTGCAACGCCAGGGTTGTGGGTTCGATTCCCATGGGGGTATGAAAAATAAAAAATGATGTATGCACTCACTAACTGTAAGTCGCTCTGGATAAGAGCGTCTGCTAAATGACTAAAATGTAATGTAAATGTAAATGTATCTTATGATAAGCTGTAGACCACACTATTTACCAAGAGAGTTTTCATCTATATTTTTCAGAGCTGTCTATTTACCACCACAAACCAATGCTGGCATTAAGATTGCACTCAATGAGCTGTATAAGGCCATAAGTCAACAGGAAAACGCCCATCCAGAGGCAGCGCTCCTAGTGGCCGGGGACTTTAATGCAGGGAAACTTAAATCAGTTCTACCTAATTTCTACCAGCATGTGAAATGTGCAACCAGAGGAAAAAAAAACTCTAGACCACCTTTACTCCACACACAGAGACGCATACAAAGCTCTCCCTCGCCCTCCATTTGGCAAATCTGACCATAACTCTATCCTCCTGATTCCTGCTTATAAGCAAAAACTAAAGCAGGAAGCACCAGTGACTTGGTTAATAAAAAAGTGGTCAGATGATGCAGATGCTAAGCTACAGGACTGTTTTGCTAGCACAGACTGGAACATGTTCCGGGATTCTTCAGATAGCATTGAGGAGTACACCACATCAGTCACTGGCTTCATCAATAAGTGCATCGATGATGTCGTCCCCACAGTGACCGTACGTACATACCCCAACCAGAAGCCATGGATTACAGGCAACATCCGCACTGAGCAAAAGGGTAGAGCTGCCGCTTTCAAGGAGCGGGACTCTAACCCGGACGCTTATAAGAAATTCCGCTATGCCCTCCGACGAACCATCAAACAGGCAAAGAGTCAATACAGGACTAAGATTAAATCGTACTACACCGGCTCTGACGCTCGTCAGATGTGGCAGGGCTTGAAAACTATTACAGACTACAAAGGGACTACTTCCAGACGAGCTAAACCACTTCTATGCTCGCTTCGAGGCAAGCAACACTGAAGCATGCATGAGAGCACCAGCTGTTCCGGATGACTATGTTATCACACTCTCCGTAGCCGATGTGAGTAAGACTTTTAAGCAGGTCAACATTCACAAGGCCGCAGGGCCAGACGGATTACCACGACGTGTATTCCGAGCATGTGCTGACCAACTGGCAAGTGTCTTCACTGATATTTTCAACATGTCCCTGACTGAGTCTGTAATACCAACATGTTTCAAACAGACCACCATAGTCCCCGTACCCAAGGACTCTAAGATAACCTGCCTAAATGACTACCGACCCGTAGCACTGACGTCTGTAGCCATGAAGTGCTTTGAAAGGCTGGTCATGGCTCACATCAACACCATTATCCCAAAACCCTAGACCCACTCCAATTTGCATACCGCCCCAACAGATCCACAGATGATGCAATCTCTATTGCACTCCACACTGCCCTTTCCCACATGGACAAGAGGAACACCTATGTGAGAATGCTATTCATTGACTACAGCTCAGCATTCAACACCATAGTGCCCTCAAAGCTCATCACTAAGCTAAGGATCCTGGGACTAAACACCTCCCTCTGCAACTGGATCCTGGACTTCCTGACGGGCCGCCCCCAGGTGGTAAGGGTAGGTAACAACACATCTGCCACACTGATCCTCAACACGGGGGCCCCTCAGGGGTGCGTGCTCAGTCCCCTCCTGTACTCCCTGTTCACCCATGACTGCATGGCCAGGCACGACTCCAACACCATCATTAAGTTTGCCGACGACACAACAGTGGTAGGCCTGATCACCGACAACGATGAGACACCCTATAGGGAGGAGGTCAGAGACCTGGCCATGTGGTGCCAGGCTAACAACCTCTCCCTCAACGTGACCAAGACAAAGGAGATGATTGTGGACTACAGGAAAAAAAAGAGGACTGAGCACGCCCCCATTCTCATCGACGGGGCTGTAGTGGAACATGTTGAGAGCTTTACGTTCCTTGGTGTCCACATCACCAACAAACTATCACGGTCCAAACACACCAAGACAGTCGTGAAGAGGGCACGACAAAGCCAATTCCCCCTCAGGAGACTGAAAAGATTTGGCATGGGTCCTCAGATCCTCAAAAAATTATACAGCTGCACCATCGAGAGCATCCTGACTGGTTGCATCACCGCCTGGTATGGCAACTGCTTGGCCTCCGACCGTAAAGCAATACAGAGGGTAGTGCGTATGGCCCAGTACATCACTGGGGCCAAGCTTCCTGCCATCCAGGACCTCTATACCAGGCGGTGTCAGAGGAAGGCCCTCAAAATTGTCAAAGACTCCAGACACCCTAGTCATAGACTGTTCTCTCTGCTACCGCACGGCAAGCGGTACCGGAGTGCCAAGTCTAGGTCCAAAAGACTTCTCAACAGCTTCTAGCCCCAAGCCATAAGACTCCTAAACAGCTAATCATGGCTACCCAGACTATTTGCACTGCCCCCCCCCCACCCCATCTTTTTACGCTGCTGCTACTCTGTTAATTATTTATGCATAGTCACTTTACCTCTATCCACATGTACATATTACTTCAACTACCTCAACTAGCCGGTGCCCCCGCACATTGACTCTGCACCGGTACCCCCCTGTATATATAGCCTCCCTACTGTTATTTTATTTTACTTCTGCTCTTTTTTTCTCAACACTTTTTTGTTTTATTCTACTTTTTTATTAAAAATAAATGCACTGTTGGTTAAGGGCTGTAAGTAAGCATTTCACTGTAATGTCTGCACCTGTTGTATTCGGTGCATGTGGCCAATAACATTTGATTTGATTTGATTTGTTTTAGTGGATGGTGTGTTGCTCATGCTAATGCTATCGTGTTGTTAATGCTAATGCTTACAACCTGTGTTAGTGGATGGTGTTTTGCTCATGCTAATGCTAGCAGTGCAGCTGACTGCTGATAAGCTCTCTTTGTGCTTCTTACCCAATAGGGAGGTGATGAGATAAGCCAGCCGCCCCAGAGCCCAGATGAGACCTTGAGAGGGAAAGTACACAGTCTCTGCAGTACCCATGATGTAGCTCCCTCCAACAGATACACAGTCATGAGCACAAACATACACACGCATCTATTTTTCCAGCTGACTGCACATACCAGTCAGTGTCATTTCCAGCATTACTGTTTACTCTAAGGTATAACACGCTGTTGCATCCTTCCCAACATCCCCGGGCTGGCGAGTATGGTTTCTGTCACTCACTCACACACACACACACACACACACACACACACACACACACACACACACACACACACACACACACACACACACACACACACACACACACACACACACACACACACACACACACACACACACACACACACACACACACACACACACACACACACACACACACACACTCACACTCACACTCACACTCACACTCACACACACACACACACACACACACACACACAGAGGACTCACGTGTCATAGTGAATACCCCCACCAAAACGTTGACGTGCTTTTTGTAATTTAAGCTTTAAAACTGGAAAGTGTTCTCTCTGCCTCATGGCAAAATGTGAAGAATTGCAGGATATAAGCTTTAAAGCTGCAACAACAAAACATCTCTCTTTCCCATGACAAAATGTGTACAATTGCAGGAAATTTGCTAGAAAACTGCTAATATCTCTCACCGATGCCAAGAGATGGGCCTTTAAAATGTTCCTTCCCAGGGCCTGAGACTTGGTTTGTCCGGCCATGCGCTGCCAAAGTCATAGTAGACCTCCTGATGCTATTTTTATCTCACTTGAGTCGTGTTCTGATTATGAGGGGGTCCCTGATTAATTTGCCATCACAAAAAGGTACCCGGCCCGAAAAAGTTTGAAAACCCCTGAATTACACAATACATGAAAAGCAAAACACAATCATATGAAACAGACAACAAAAAGGGTCAGGGTGGAGCAAGTGTGCCTTGGTACAAATGGCAAGGTATATTGCTGACTGCCCCAGTATCTGTGCGTTAGCGATTTTGACGAGTATGACGTGTCTCTTCTCTAACGCCCAGGAAGTTCCGATTCAAACTGCCATTAGACAGCTCTGCAAGTGTTATAATGTCAAGAGAAGTTTGTTAATCACCAGATATGGAGTTTCGCTAAGCAACTATCTTAATTTACTCCCGTTACCGCCGGTATGTACTTCCAAAAGAAAGTCTAAATAAAAATGTACAAGCAACCGAAAAAAAACCTCCAATCACTCATTACTGCCACACACAGGTCGGAGGTCTACAACAGATCAATCCATTGGAGGTGCCAAAGAGGCATTTTTTTCAGTTGTTTGAAAATTGGAAGTACATGCCGGCAGTAACAGGAGTAATTATCTCTAACGCACAGATACTGGGGCAGTTGCTGACCAGTCTTTTTTCAGATCTACACTATGTGTCAACTAAGTAGGGGTGGTTTGGAATGGGCAGATATGGATCACTCTAACAAAGTTGAGTTTGGTCTGTACTCCATCCTAGCTTACTCCACCTCTAGCCATCCATACTCCACCCTGACCCTATGACCAGTTGCTCCAGCCATCCATACTCCACCCTGACCCTATACCCAGTTGCTCCAGCTATACCAAGCCATACATACTCCACCCTGACCCTATACCCAGTTGCTCCAGCTATACCAAGCCATACATGCTCCACCCTGACCCTATGACCAGTTACTCCAGCTATACCAAGTCATACATACTCCACCCTGACTGTATGCCCAGTTGCTCCAGCCATACATACTCCACCCTGACCCTATACCCAGTTGCTCCAGCTATACCAAGCCATTCATACTCCACCCTGACCCTATACCCAGTTGCTCCAGCCATTCATACTCCACCCTGACCCTATACCCAGTTGCTCCAGCTATACCAAGCCATACATGCTCCACCCTGACCCTATGACCAGTTACTCCAGCTATACCAAGTCATACATACTCCACCCTGACTGTATGCCCAGTTGCTCCAGCCATTCATACTCCACCCTGACCCTATGCCCAGTTGCTCCAGCCATTCATACTCCACCCTGACCCTATACCCAGTTGCTCCAGCCATTCATACTCCACCCTGACCCTATGCCCAGTTGCTCCAGCCATTCATACTCCACCCTGACCCTATACCCAGTTGCTCCATCTATACCAAGCCATACATACTCCATCCTGACCCTATACCATGTTACTCCATCTATACCAAACCATACATACTCCATCCTGACCCTATACCATGTTACTCCATCTATACCAAGCCATACATACTCCATCCTGACCCTATACCATGTTACTCCATCTATACCAAGCCATACATACTCCATCCTGACACTATACCATGTTACTCCATCTATACCAAGCCATACATACTCCATCCCTCTACCCTTTTCAAGCTATAATCCCTTCCTCTATGCATCCTCATGCAAGTTACCCTGTCCTCTACTGTCAACAACACACTGGCCCTGAGGCCACAAGTTTAAATGAGAGAGAGTGAGAGAGGGAGGGGAGAGAGAGCGATAAAGAGAGAGAGAGGAGAGAGAAAGAAAGAGGGGGGAGAGAGAGAGGGGGAGAGAGGCTCGGATGTGTGTGAGGTGGAGGAGCATGGTTCACTGTTTCACACTCAATGAGTGTAAATAAGGGTTGCAGCTCAGAAACCCAAAACCACTGAGCTCTGTGTTTGAGGAAACACTCCATCCGAAAACACAAACACACCGTCAGAACCTGACACCAACAGTGGATGAGTAGGAGGCTGGTGAGAGCCTGAGCAGACAGAGCTCTCTTCTATAGCACCTCCCACTCACCTCTCTGTCCCTCCACCCATCAACACATATCGCTAGTTCTTTTCAAAACCTCTCCATCTGCTTCCACATCAACAGGATGTGTCACAGTTTCAGACATCAATCTTTGTCCCTGACCGCTTTCTTTCACCACCTTCTCAAAGGAACCAGATATTTAAAATCTAATCTACCAGGCAGTGGACATCCATGTTTCAGCCAACCAGACTTTCTGATCAGAGAGGAAGTAAAGGAAACAAGGGAAGAATGCCCATATGGTTCATAAAGGCAAAAGCTGTAGGTTTCCTGTTATAGAGGTTGAAATACAACCACTCTTTCTGTAAACCACCAAGGATTCTGTTTCCCCCTTTGAATGACATCATGCCCCACCCCGACACCCATCTGTCAGTGAGTGACCAAAGTGTACACACAAAATCAAGAGACAGACAGAGAGCCAGACCAATGTTTTGGTGGATAGGGGGATTCTGCACCAGTTTGTGGTTTCCATCGGTCTGTCTCTAGCTCCAGACATGAGGCTGGACAGGCACTGGTTCTATCTGGAGCTGGAGTGGAGTATTGTCCTCAGCTGGCCTCTGAGGAGGACATTACTTATCTCTCCAGAAGTGGAATGTTGCTCATGATGATGTGGAATGCTGCTAGTCATGGTTGGAATAGACACAACCAAGATAAAACATTGTTTGGCAACTTTGTTCCTCAGGATGGGCTTTACTACCACTCCTTTTTCCATGTGCAATTTCTTTTGATTCCACTCTGTGTGCACAGCACTGACCAGGAGCATGGAGGATTGCAGATATCTGGAGCAAGGGTCAAAGTTAAAGAAAAAGTGGACCAATGAGGGAAATGCCTTTGCACCCATCTGTTGTGCACTTATCAGGTGTCAACTGAATTCATTATCATCATGCTGGTAGAAGTCTCCTCCTTCCACTGTCTCTCTGGCACATGGAGGTCTGAACTTTCTTATATATTTCAATGATCTGAACATAGATGTGAGTGAGTAATGCAGTGCTTGATCTTTGGGTTCCCACATCAATCAGACAACTGTTGAAATTATAAGGGATGTGAGGCAACTCTAAAGGATCTGATTTATACCAGCTATACACCACCACGGATCACCTGCTTTCCTGGTTGATGTCTGGTCAAACAATGTCCGTCTGCCACTGTGTGAAGTTCTCAGTTGCATACTTCTCGCGTCCTCTCTCCTCAAAACCCATTGGAGGAGAAGGTCAGAGGGGAGGGACCTCTGCTTTCTCATCCAATGGGTTTTGAGAAGGAGACTAGGAGAGAGGACGTAATTGAGATCTTCCCTGTGTGTTAACTACCAACAGACATGCCATCCCATACCTAACCAGAAGATGGCGACGGATAGACAGAAAACACTATGTACACTATAGATCCATTCACTGGAAATTATTCAAAATATTTATATTTGTGCACTACTCTGTTCAAGTGGCCGACTCTAAATATACATCAATTTGGCCTTCCTTGAACTATCACTGATCTGACAAAGTTGTCTCAAGGTCTCCACAATAAACATGGGAATGATTGCACAATACATGTTACACTTAAATAATACGTAGCAAAAATAGCTGTTTCACACAGGCAATTTTGACACCATGTTTTGAACGATTTGTGGGGCTAGTCCCAATACCCTACTCCAGAGCATGGCCATCCAAGCCCTAAGCCAATTTATGCTTGATCCGAAAATGTGGTCGGAGACTTCGTATGGAGGGTGTGACACAATTGCAGAGCCGCCGGAGGCATGCAGAGGCCAAATCAAGTTCCGTACCGCATCGCCGTGTGCCTCTCAAATTTTGTAACAATGCGGAGGGCTCCGTATAGCTCCGCGTTGACATGATTGGTTGACGGTAGGTGAAGTCTGTGGAGGCTGCATCTCAGTAAATGCTGTACGGCCACATATACAAGTGTGAAACATAGCCTTGGCCTCTCTAATGTGGAAGAAAACTGGCAGTGGGAAAATCCCTCGTCATGACAGTGATGCGCTCAAGGAAGGAATTAAGCATCAAAGTGTATCATTTTAATTGTCTGGTTTTTATTATAAACATCTTGAAGATATTCTGCCTCATCTTGTTTCATTATGTATCACCTGTAGTAGTGAGTGTGGATCAATCTCAATTGTGTTTGCGTCCTCTCTCCATGCCGCCTCCTCAAAACGCATTGGGGGAGAAGATCTGAGGGAGGACCTTCCAATATGCTTTGAGGAGAAGAGGAGGGAGGACCTGAGGAATCAAGAGAATACTATTGAGATGTACTGTGTGTGTGGACACACAATTTAGCTTGCCTTGTATTG